AGAAGGGGCACAAATACTCCTAAAACCGCCGTTCTGATGTGTGTCCCGCTGGCATCCAGAGCAAGAGCCTGAAACTAAAAATGTCAATATGTTATCAGCTGTCGCAACTTCTTTCTAGATATGTCTCCGGAGGCAAGGGAAATAAAAGCAAAAATAAACTACTGGGACTACCTCAAAATCAAAAGCTTCTGCACAATGAAGGAAGCAATTAGCAAAACTAAAAGGCGAAGATATTTGCAAATGACATATCTGATGAAGGGTTAGTATCCAAAATATAGAAAGAACTTATAAAACTCAGCACCTGGAAAGTGAATAATCCAATTAAAAATGGGCAGAAGACATGAATAGACATTTTTCCAAAGAAGACTATACAGATGGCCAACACACATGAAAAGATGCCCAACATCACTCATCATTAGGAAAATACAAATCAAAGCCACAATGAGATACCACCTCACACCTGTCAAAATGGCTAAAATAAAATAAAAAACCCAGAAGAAACAACAGGTGCTGGTAAGGATGCGGAAAAAGGGGAAGCGTCTTGCACCGTTGGTGGGAATGCAAACTGATGCAGCCACTCTGGAGAACAGTACGGAGATTCCTCAAAAAGTTAAAAATAGAGCTACCCTATGAACCAGCAATTGCACCACTAGGTATTTACCCAAAGTATACAAAATTACTAATTCAAAGGGATACATGTACCCTGATATTTATAGCAGCATTATTTAAAATAGCCAAGATATGGAAGCAGCCCAAATGTCCCTTGATAGGTGAATGGATAAAGAAAAGGTGGTATGTATATTACTCAGCCATAAAAAAGAGTGAAATCTTGCCAATTGCAATGACATGGATGCAGCTAGAGAGTATAATGTTAAGTAAAATAAATCAGAGAAAGACAAATACCATATGATTTCACTTGTATGTGGAATTTAAGAAACAAAACAAATGAGCAGAGGGGAAAAAAGAAAGAGAGAGGCAGACCAAGAATTAGACTCTTAAGTATAGAGAACAAACTGACGGTCACCAGAGGGGAAGTGGGTGGGAGGATGGGTGAAATAGGTGGTGGGGATGAAGGAGGGCACTGTGATGAGCACCGGGGGTTGTATGGAATTGCGGAATCACTATATTGTACACCTGAAACTAATATTACACTGTATGCTGACTAACTGGAATTTAAGTGAAAACTTAAGAAAAATAAAAAATAAAAATGTCAATATATTTATAAAAGAGACTATCAGTGCTTCTTAAACCAATATAGTGAATGATAGAAAGAAGGGCATTGAGAATTAATCATCTTAAATAAGTACCACATATTGTAAGAAATCAGGAAGAAAATGATAAGAAAAACACAACAGAACTGATGGCAAAGCAAACAGTACAACTTGTATAAAGAGGTAGGAATATGAATAGTCATACCTATATATAAATAGGTAGGTTTAACTGCACTACTCATCTAGTTTTAATTAAACAACTGCCAGAATTAAAAGTGATTCTATAATGAACCAAACAAATTAACAAAAATGGGATAGATTTGATTATGCAAAAATTATTTGGTAAAATACATAAATATATAAATGATTTGAGATATTTAGAAACCTAACGGATTCTTTCTCATGACTTCGATGACAATTATGTTTAATGGATTTTACTGAAAATTGGAACTAGAATTTTAGTTTGCATACTGTCCTCACCTACACACTGGGGTAGAGAACTCCATTTTCCCATCTGGCATATTATCTCATCTTTTTCCGATACCCTGAAACCATCCTCACACGTGTAATTTAACTTGCTGCCATGTGGGTAAATCTTAGGTTTCGATGATTCTTCTCTTTCTTCTGAAAATTCAGATGATTTAATGGTTCCATGTTCTATATGAGGTGGTTGAGGACATGCAAGTTTTTCTATATGAAGAACAGAGATCAAAGGGTCAAGTATAGACACAATGTTTAAATTCAAAAATGCAATCAAATGCCATTTGGGATTTTAAAATAAGGATAATTTGAACAAACTAAATTAACGAAAAACTGAAAAACATTTGAAACTTGCAAGCATATATGTCCCCATAAAATCTATGCTATTATCTACTTGTTCACTATGCCCCCTCATTCTTGTCCTGTTCATCATGAGGAGTAAAATAGGCATAAAGAGAAATTTTCTCTGGTATTTGCACAATAACCCAAAGTTTTTGTCTGTTCATTTCACAGTAGAAGTGAAAGAACGCTGATTGGTTTGTATACTTAGTTTGTAATGTACTGTTTCAAGGTAAAGTGAAATAGGTATAGAGAAAGGTCTTCATCTTGTTCCTTTTCACAAAGCACAGGGGAGTATTAACCTCATTTGAAAGAATGTTATGAAGCAAGTTACGCAGTACTGACCAACACAGCGTGGTATTGACTGCCATCTTCCATCTTTGCACACAATTTCTTCGGCATCCTGAAGCATATAATTGTCTTGACAGACAACAGATACTTTTTCTCCATCCTGATAATTCACCGTCGTTGCCATATTTTGAGCTTTGGGAATCTGAGGTGGAGGGGGGCATGACTGCGTTCTAACTTCTAAAAATATTAAAATTTAGATTTCTTGATTAAAAATCATAAGTTAAACATATTAACCAGATAATTAACCAGAAAACTCAATAATAATGTACCACTAATGATCAAATAATGACATTATGTTCGATATTTAAACATGTTATACTCTTGGGCTTGTAGAGCACTTTAATATATCACATGTGGTTTATATTCTCACCATGTTACTTGTAGTATCTTCCTTTTATTCTTTCTGTGACAAATCTTGCTTGATGTATGTAAAACTTATTTTAATGGTTTCTAACCATTAGGATGTTCTGAGTTGTCCACTCAGTAAGAGGCACTAAATAAATACTGATATCAGGATCTTGTTTACAGATATCCATAATCAAATGTATTGTGATTGGATTTAAACCCTCACAAGGTGTGGAACGGAAGCTAATTAGTCAGAGGAAGAATTACGTGTAGTTAACGATCAATTATCTGATACAGATTCTTGGCTAAGATAAGAATTAGATATGGTCACTAATGTTTACAGTGTGTTGTTTAGAGTTCAAAACTCTCTGGAGGTACTGTTTACTAGCTTGGCTAGTAAACAGTAAGAGAGAGATAGGCTAACGAAAAGCACCCTGTTGAACAGATCAGACAGCCTTGGCTTCAGTTGCATGACCAGCAAGGGACACAAGATTCCTCTGTAAACTTGTGTTTGAGCTCCCAGAGAACAGAGATACTGCACGTGTATCTTGGCAGCTCATAATCTGAAGACAAAGCATGTCTTGTTCAACTGAGGGAAGCCTTTGGCTGGCTGTACCTGGAGGCTTTTGGATCTCTCTCTGATTCCTTGATTTTGCTTTCTCCTGTCGTGCATTTATTTCATTAAAGGTCTTATGTGAGTGTACACTGGGAAGTCTTGTAAGTCCTTTCAGTTACTCAAGATTTTGTAGTCAATTCAGAGAAATATTTGACCGAATACACTTCATTCATGCTTACTAATATTTTCTATTTCTCGTATTTTCTATTTCTATCTAAGTGTAGAAGTATTTTATATTTAATCAAAACCTTTTCTTCTTATTTGTTTTAAATATCTTGGCATTTTTTTTCAATGCATTGTCAAAGATTGAGTTTCTTCTGTATCTGATCTTTACCATTTTTGCCCTAATAATCTTAATTTGTACTTCCTTTGATACATTTTTGCTATAGGTTGGTCTAACAACTAAATTTCCCTAAAGGCAGAATTACTATTCTGCAAATCACCTGTTTATACTTTTTAAAAAAGTTTCTTTGTATTTTAATTAATTATTTGTATTTTATTTTATTTTTATGTTTTAAAAATTATTCTGTATTTTTTTTTGCAGTTCTTTGTATAGCAATCATACCACAAAAAAGCTGTTAAAAGAGAATAACTTTATTTAGGAAAAAATAAATATTTGGAAATTAAGAAACAAAATTCAAAATAACTGATAGGTCAAAGAAGAAATCACAAGGAATATTAGAAAACATTTCACATAGAATTAAATGAAAATGAAATGTGTATAAAAATTTTGAGATATAAAAATTTTGAGACTGCTACAGCTGTACTTGGAAGGAAAAATGGAGTTTATCTTTGAAAAGTAGGATGGTTTAAATCCATGTTTTAATTTCCTACCTTAAGAAATGAAAAAATAAAATTAAAAGCAAAGTAAGTAGAATGAAAAAAACAGTTTGTCCACAGAGGAGAAAAAATTGGAAAGACAAATAGAAAAAAGAAAACAAAAAAATAGTGAATGTTAATAAGGTTAAAAAATAGAAGAGAGAGTAAATGGAGAAAATTAAGTGTTAAAATTGGCTATCTGGAAATATTAATAAAACTGAAGAAAAAAAGAAAACCCAGGAAGAATAATACAGTTGAAAGAGAAAAATAACTATCAATGTCAAGAATGAAAGAAGTGATACCAACAAACACACTATATAATTAAAATGAAAATAGAATATTAAGTGAGTATTAGAAACAAATGTATACCAATCAATTTCATAAATTAGATAAAATAGATATTTCTTCAAAAATCCAACTTCCTTGCGTTGACAAAAGACAGTAAGAAAATCTGAATATTTCACTACTTATTAAAGAAATTGAATTCTTCATCAAAAAAACTTCCAAAAAAGCAAATTATGTATCAGATGACTTTACAGGTGAAGTCTATCAATCATTTAAGATACAAATAATAAAATAATAATATGTGTAATAATAATATTACATTTATACTTTCAGAAGACAGAGAAGCAGAGAACAGTCCTCAATTCGTTTTATGAGGCCATGATAATCCTAACAACAAAACTTGGGAGAGGCATTAAAAGACAAAGTAGCTAGAGATTAGTATTCCTCATGAATATAGATGTAAAACCCCTTAAAAATATATCAGCAAATCGAGTACATGAAAATATAGGAAGAATAACCTGTCACTACCTCGTAGAATTCACTCTAGGGAGGAGAGATCTGTTCAACATCCAAAAATTTATGTATATAATTCACTGGATTAACAGAATTAAGGAAGTCATATTATCATATCGAGAGATACATAAAAAGCATTTAAAAACATTCAACATGGGTTGATCATAAAATTTCTCACTCAGTTAAGTAAGAATAGAAGGGAATTTCCTTAAGCTGATAAGGGGCATCTACAAAAATCCTAAATTGACATTATACTTGTGGTAAAATGTTGAATATCCTCTCCCAGTGATCAGGAATAGGGCAAAGTTGTATGTTCTCATCATTTCCTTTCAACAGTTTACTGGAGGTCCAAGTCAGTGTGATAAGAGAAAAAATAAAAATAAAAAAGGACCGGCAAAAATAAAGTCTTGTATTTTCAGTGACATAATTGCTTACAGAAAATTGCAACAGATCTACAAAACAGTACCTAAAATGAATAATGCAACTTGGTATAGTGTCAGAGTATAAAATCAATGTGCACAAATCAAGTGTGAGGACAAATGTATAGGAAGAAACTGACCTTATTTCCTCCCAGAGACACACAGGTACATATGGAACAATTTCCTCTAAAAAAGACCTGAAAACTAGCTGAAGAGCTCCTTCACAACAAACAGTAAAAGGGCCACATCGAGATGGGTGGGAGAGTCAGAGACCCAGTAGGGACCAAACTCCCACCCTTGGCAGGGCTACACACTCTCAGGTGGGATCTCACAAATCCAGAGCTTCTCCCTGAGGAGAGAGAGGTTTGTGTCCCACATCAGCACCCCAAACTCTGGGACCTGCAAAAGAAAGATGAGCCCCCCAACACCTGGCTTTGAAAACCAATGGGTCTCACATCCAGGAGACTCAATGGGCTGCAGAGAACGGGGATACTTCTTTTTTTTTTAAGATTTTATTTATTTATTTGACAGAGAGAGAGAGCGAGAGTACAAGCAATGGGAGTGGCAGGCAGAGGGGAGGGAGAAGCTGACTTCCTGTTCAGCAGAAAGCCTGATGTGGGGCTGGATCCCAGGACCCTGAGATCATGACCTGATTGGAAGGTGGACACCTAACCGAGCCATCCAGGCACCCCCTGAGATACTTTGCTTAAAGAGCTGTCACCCAGACTCACTATCCCCAGGGAACCAATGTGAAAGGAACAGTTTGAGAAATACCTAGACGTATGAGAAGGAGAGCCATTTGCTAATCTTAAAGCATCTACCTGAGGGGCAGGGGTCTGTTGGGACTCTTTCCACGACGGAGGTGTGGCAGGTGCCATTTTCACACTCGCCCTCCACCTTGAGAACACCGGCAGGTGCACTCCAGCCCAGTGCTCTCCTGTGGCCCCATAAAAGCCAGCAGGTGTGGCCCAGCCCTGCCTTCTCACTAAAGCTGGCAACATGCTCGGTCCACATAGGGGATGATCCTCCATCTCTTGGAGCTAGTAGCCAGAGGGGCTTGCCTTTCTGGCTTCCGCAGGACTGTAACAATGGGACAGGTAATTCTTGGCAGGCTACCGCCTCCAGGGCTCTACACAGACAGCCCCCTGAAACACACCCTCAGTCTTGTTGTGAAAAAGGCCAATTTACTTGTCCTGGACCTTTCGCTTGAGGGGCAGACTTCAGATTTGCCACACATCTGGAGGCTACAGAGGTGCTTCTCAGGGCAGGGAAACCAGGGGGATGCCAGCTTTGTGCTCTCTTCAGCCTCAAAGCAAACCCAAATACTAATTCTTCAAGATACCTGGCTGGATGTTAATTCAAGACCACCAAGTTTCTGGGTGTTTTGTTTTATAGCGGACTAATGCACTGATGCAATTAGTATTTAGAAATAGGGTTTTGGTTAGTTTCCGTGTTAGTTTCCGTTAGTTTACATAGGTAAAAATTTTTAGAAACCGCAAAGATACTACTTTTATAAATTAGGAAGAAATAGAGTAAGTTTTTGAAAATATTGTAAACAAGAGCTTACCTGTGCAGTTTAGTTCAGGATCCCATCGTCCATTTATGCATGTTGAATGTTTCTGCTTTATTGTTCCTCTGCATTTATAACTTATTTTCTCATTATGATCAAATACAGTCTTACTTAATGGATTTGCTTCTTGTCTAGTCAAGCTGTATTTACACTTCTCAAGTTCATCATTTGCTATAAAATGAAAATATTCCCTTGAAAAGACTAATTATAAGAATCAAAGCAACTACTACAAAAAATAGCTTAGAGTCAATAGTATAATGAAATTAGAATTTGAGCCCATAAACCCCACCAACCAATTTATTCCTGACCATATTGCATGAGATGGGCTCTTATGTATGAACATACGTCCTGTGTCCAGTCTTTGAAATTTTGGAGAAAATGTCCATCATAAATACATTCTGCACTTTGGGGATTAAAAAAGTGTAAGAGGTTCACTCTTTTGGATAATCTACAGACTGAACGGTCATCACCTGACTACATTTGGTCCCATATTTATCTGTGGAAATAGAATATATGAAGTTGCTAGTTTATATATATTTTTTTCAATAAAGGTAATGTAATATAATAAGAAAAGTACATCTAAGATGTAGTATACAGAATGTGAATACTTAAGTAGATCTTTTGCATGATCACTAAAAATTAGGAACACATTCTTAGAATGAGAAGTTGGGTGCTTAAAGCCACAACCTGTTTCCTGTTTATACTCTTTTTTTTTTATTTTTAAATTTTTTTATTTATTTGAGAGAGTGAGAAAGAGAGAGCACAAGAGGGGGTAGGGTTAGAGGGAGAAGCAGACTCCCTGTTGAGCAAGGAGGCCTGATGCGGGACTTGATCCCAGGACTCCAGGATCATGACTCGAGCCGAAGGCAGTCACTTAACCAACTAAGCCACCCAGGCACCCTCCTGTTTATACTCTTACAATCTTTGAAGAGCTATTTTATATATCAGATCACCCTATAATTCAATAATATTTTAACATTATAATAGTAAATTTTTGGTGACTCTGAGTTAAATATAACAACTTTTTATGTAGCTACATATTTCAAAAATTCAATACAGATTAAAGTACTTTTTGGATTTGATAAAATATGAGTTGATGTAGGTCTTTATTAATGATTTGTTAATGATTAACCAAAGAAGTAATGATTTTGTAATACATTGAAAAATAAAACAAAGGAGACTAATTCAAAAAACACTAGAGGCAAGAATTTATCCTATTTTTAGGGCTTGTCCATAGTGTTGAGGGAGACAAAACAAGGTGTTCAGGGGATGGTAACTAAAGGATGATCTATAGTCAAAAGGAGTGGTAGTGGTTGTTGTCATTGTCCTATGATTGATTGGTTTCTGAAAAAATTTCTTTGTTTATTAGGGGAAAATAAACATTCAGAGAAGAGTGAACAGCTAGACTAACTGGAGGTACAAAATAAACACTGAGAGGAGAAAATTGGAGTAAGGTCTATTATACCTGTAAGGGGATTATGTTAAGCTGAATATAGGTAGAAGATTAACCTTTGGAAGGCAAACTCTGAGATCAGAAAAGAGTAATAATTGAAGCAGATGTTTCAGAATAAGAATGAAAGTTGAGAGTTTTCATGCCTGTTATAACCTTGGGTTTTACCTCCCATATGAAATAAGGGAAGATCATTTGTGGAGACAGAAGAGGACAAAGATGAAGTTTGGTCTTGAAGGACTGACAATACTTCTAATGGGAATGTGTTTAGCAAAAATGTAAGGATTAATAAGCACCAAAACTTTATGATTCATTCAACAAACTCTGTATGTAATGTAATGTCTGCTGTATGTAATGTCTGCTGTATGTCTGCCAGTCTTTTGGGTATTGGGAATACATCATGAACAAAATAGGAGTAAATCTCTGCTCTCATGGAGCATGAGCCCAAGCCCTACCTTCTCCTTGGAACAATTAATGCCTAGAAATCTGATGAATAAATAAGACTGGACAACCAGGGCTCTGTTTGAATGTAGGACTTAGGAAAACTCTAGGAAAGAACTCATTCCAAGGGAAAAATGAAAAGGGCCCCCAATATTCTCCCAGTTAGTCATAAAAGACTTGGTATCCAAAGGTCAGGAAGATTCACACACATCAATCAGGGGGAAGTCCATCCATCAGATTTGTTTCATGGCCTAACCCTGACTGCCTCCTTTCAGTTCTACCACCGACTGTGAGGGCCTGCAGCCCACCCACCCTTCAGCACATAAACTTGTTGTTGCATTTGAAACAGATTGGGAAATTGTTAGAAACTTTGAGAGAGGCAAGATCCTATAGGAATGTAGCAAGTGGGTATGAAGTTTATTTGTTTTCCAGTGCCTGAAATCAAGAGTGTCATGTAAAAACAAAAGTGGGATTTATGCAAATATACTTCTATTTTGGCAATTAGTATTCATATTTAAATCATATGAATAACTATAAGTAAAATTTAGCTTCACACTTATAAACAACGTAAATATCTGGGACAGAATATTGATAAAATTCTATTGCTAATTTGTGGACACGTAATGAACTATAAGCAATGTAGGTCTTCATTATAATTTAAGACCTGATATTTTCTTTTTTCTTTTTTAGATGTTATTTACTTATTTGAGAGACAGTGCTAGAGAGAGAAAGAGAGACAGAGCATGAGCAGGGGGAGGGTCAGAGAGAGAAGGAGAAGGACCCTAGGATCATAACCTGGGTGGAAGGCAGACCCTTAACCTACTGAGCCACCCAGGTACTCCTAAGACCTGACATTTTCAAGAATATACCTAAATTTCAAATATATGTTTGCAAACATAGTTTTTACCATAAAAATATTAAATTTCATTGACTGTCAGTTTGAGAAGTGTCTTCTCACCGATGCACTGAGGAAGTGGGGTCCACATTCCACTAATACATGTAATTGACTTGTGTCCAATCATTGTAAATTCTTCTTTGCAATTGAACTCTACTGAATCTCCATGGCGATAGGGAGGGGCAGAAGACTCAGCAACAGAGCCGTAATGAAGTTCAGGTATATCTCCACATGTACTCTCCACCTCTG